CACAGTACTTGAAGCTTACTACACCACAACCAGCAACTATGTATAAGGATATGTTCCTTTTGTTTGCTGTACATGGTGTCATGCACACATTACTTGAAGCTGACTACAACACAACCAGCAACTATGATATAAGGATATGTTCTTCTTGTTTGTTGTGCATGGTGTCATACACACAGTACTTGAAGCTTACTACACCACAACCAGCAACTATGTATAAGGATATGTTCCTCTTGTTTGCTGTACATGGTGTCATACAAACATTACTTGAAGCTGACTACACCACAACCAGCAACTATGATATAAGGATATGTTCCTCTTATTTGCTGTACATGGTGTCATACACACATTACTTGAAGCTGACTACACCACAACCAGCAACTATGATCTGCAAATTTAAGTAATTTATTGACTGTCCCTTCATCTATGTCATTGATGTAAATCAAAAAGAACAAAGGTCCTAAGACTGAGCCCTGAGGTATCCCACTTGTGACATTAATCCAGTTTAACTGAACTCCATTTGTAACAATCCTCTGATTTCTTCCATCAAGCAACTCTTCTATCCAGCATGCTAATTTATCCCCCACACCTACAGAGATAATTTTTATTTTACAAGCCTTTTATGTGGCACCTTGTCAAATGCTTTCTGAAAATCCAGATACACCAAATCTACACCCTTATCTAAATAAACAGTAACCTTTTCAAAGAATGTCAAAAGATTTGTAAGGCAAGATTTTCCCTTAGTGAAACCATGTTGACCATTCAATAAAACTCTAAACTTTGTTAAATGACTTTGTAAAGCATCTTTTAACAGACTTTCCAAAACTTTTCCCACAACTGATGTAAGACTGCCACCATTACTAAAAACTTGAAAACTTGTATAAGTTCTTAATAAAGAGACAAGAAATTACAATACAAAATGCTGCTTGGCCTTAAACTTCAGTTCCAAAATAATAATTTTTCATTAAATATAGTGCGATGTGGCATTGAAAGTTAAACCTGGTCTTGACATACATAACGTAAAAAAAAAAAGTCAAAATGCTCACAAAAACTTCTCAAATGGCAATATTATTCCCATGTAATTTCTTTCCATATCCTTATAATCACTGTTAAGGTTATTCACATCCGAATTATACTTGTAAGTAAAATTATGATAACCCACACACATTATCTTGCATTTATTATAATTAAAACCTATCTGCCATTTATATGCCTAACTCACTAAATGATCTAAATCCTTTTGTAAATCAGCAGAAACACCACAAACCTAAATGTCAATTCTGCTGTAATCCTTTGAGGCACTACTCTGAAAGAACCCAGAAAACAATTTATTGCCTCAACAGAACTTAATCCTTGCTTCTTATATGTTTAAAAAAAATGCTTTAATATGCCAAATAATTTTCTGCTGCCCCATTTATAGCTGCATGTCCTGGTGCATTTATGGTGTGTTTAATTTCATTTTATTGCATAAGATTCTTAAAATCCTGGGATGTAAACTATCATTCATTGTCTGTAACCAAATGATATGGTAATCCATGCCTTACAAACAAAACCTGAAAAATATTGATTGTATTTGCAGACATCACAGAAGATACTAACCACTTCATGCCATTTAGAATAGGCATCAATAATTATCAAAAAGTTTTACCATCGACTGGTCCAGCAAAATCTGTATAAATTATATGCCAAGGTTTGTGAGCGATTCCTATGAATGTACTTGTGCTGTAGGTGGCTCCACCTTTATCTCTTGACAGGAAAAAAAACTTCTCACTGTTGCTTCAACTTCTTAATCTAATCCTGGCCACCAAACATGTTGTCTTGCAAGTGACTTCATTCTACTCATACCAACATGTCCAGAGTGAGCTCACCTAAAATCCTTCTACATAAGACTGTTAGAATAATGACTCGGTTTTCCCACATAAGACAGTCAAAAACAATTGTCAGTTCAGATTTTCTTTGTACATAAACCTTCAACTCCATATATGATTCTGCTGTCCACCCCTCTTTGGTCAATCTTAAAATTGTTGACAAAATTGCCTTCTTATGGGTAAATTCTGCAATCTTACCTGATGTAACGGATAAATTAATAAAGTGCTAAGTGTAATAAAATTCCACTTCTTCCTTGTTATTTCCTTTCACTTGAAATGGCAGTCTTGATAAATTGTCTGGAATTGTGTTTTCCACACCCTTTCTAAACACTTAATGTAATATAAATACCCAGACAAAAACAAAGCATATTGTAGCATTCACAATGTAATTATACTTTGCAGATAAAGGATTATGATCTGTCAAAATTGTAAAATAAAATCACCTATAGAAAACTGATAGGACTTCTTGACTGCTGCTTTAATACTTAAAGCCTCTTTGTCATTTTATGCATAATGAGTCTCTATTGTTCACAGTGTATGAGACATAAAAGCAACTGGTCTCCTAGTACCATCCTTGTAAACATGAGCTAACTCTGCCCCAGTTCCATAACTAGAGGCATCAGAAGAAATCTATAGGGGTGAACTTGGATCTTAGTGTACCAAAACTGGTGCACTACATATCAACATCTTTGTTTGAAGCTGTCATCACTCTGTTAGGCCTTCCTCCATGTTTGTTTTTTCTTTTTAGTACTTCATGAAAGGGATATAAAACATTAGCCAAATTGGAAAAAAAAATCGCCCATAAAAATTAAGTGCACCCAAAAAAAAACCTGAAGTTGCTTCAAATTTTTTGGGTACTGGTGCTTGTGTAATGGTTTCAACTTTTTCTTCTGTTGATCATAGGCCATTCTTATTAACCTGATGTCCCAATTATTCAACTTCAAATTTCATGAAACTTCATTTATCTTTATTCATCAGCAAACCAGCCTCTTCAGTATCTCCTAATATATAAACAACTCTCTAAAGATGATCTTGGTCATCTTTACCAGTTAAAATTGTGTCATCATGAAAGTCTTCTACATGAGAAATCCCAGCAATAATGAATCCATGAAGTGCTGGAAAAGGATAGTGAATATGAAAATCCATACATTAAACAAGTGGCTTTAAATAATTCAGATGTGTAGTAATTGTGCAAACTTCCGTGTGACTTTTCATCCAACTGATTGTAAGCATCTCTTCCATTCAACTTGGCAAACAACTCATTTGATGTAGGAATAGGACATTGTTCCACCTGAAGATTGGGATTAACAGTTAGACTGTAATCTGAACAGAAACAAATCTCCCCGTTCTTTTTAAGAACTGTAATGAATGGAGTAGCCCAGTTTGAATGTGATATGGATTTTGGTATTCTACAGGCAACCAAACGTTTAAATTCTTCTTCACCTTTACCCTCAATGGCAAAACTTATTGGTCCACTCTTAAAATATTTTGGAATAACCCTTCTTTTAATGTCAAATGAGCTTGATAATTTTTGACACAACCCATCTCATCCTTAAATAAATTACTATTTTGTGCTAAATTTGTTGTAATGTGAGTTCCTTGTTGACTTCATTCAATGTACACACATTCTTGAAATTTACTCCAAAGTCATACAGCATAGACTTTCCCAAACCTAAAGGTCCACCAGATTCCACAACAGATATTTCATGTGGTTTTGTGCAACCTTCAATTTGCATCTTCATGCCAATTTTACCAACTGGCTTAATCCTTTCTTTTATACAAGGCTTCATAACAATAGACATCTTCATTAATATTATGTATGAAAATTTATTTCTATAAAAAGTCTGCAGAAATTACAGAAACAGCTGATCCTGTATCCAATTCAATATCCATAGGAACATTCTCCAACTTCATAGAAACCATAGTTGGAATAACTCTTCTTCATCTTAAAATAAAAAAGGGCTATTCTTGTTTAGTGTCAGCTATTTCAACATAGTGTGTCTGGTGCTCAGATCTATTCATCTCTGACCCCAATTATTTGTGGCACTTGATGGCAAAACATCCAAGGCATCAGCAATCCTTACATGCTTTGTTTTGGACAAAACTTTATCCTCCACATGGTTGGTTTTTCGACATCTAGAACATTCTGAAAATCTTCTAGCAGAGTTAAGTCTTCCTCCAGAAACTCTCTTCTCTTGTTGAAATCTTGATTTCTTTCATTACATCTTATTAACAGCAGCTAATATAATTGCAGCAATATCTTGATCCACATTCTCCACTGAATTAGCATTTCTAACAGCTTCATCAGTCTTAATATCAGCCTTTTCAACAAGCATTCTCTTTGATACAGCTCCATCCTTAATTGCCAATACAAATTGATTGAGTAATCTGTCTTTTAATTTATCTCTGAAGTTCCAAGTCTTGCTCAGGTTGTGTAAAGCTCTGACATATTCAACAATTGTCTTCTGTGTTCAATCTCCAAACCTATACCTTTTGCCATCTTATGTGGGTTTGGATCATACTGGTCTTTTAATACCGTAACTATTTTATTAAAATTCTCATTTACAGGGTTGATATGAGCAAATAAGTCTCTCAAAACTCCATAAACTTCTCTACCAATTAGACTAAGGAAGGCTGACACGTATTATTTCTCATCAGTTTTGTTGACTATGAAGAATTTCTCTACACACACACACTACTTATAAGTCAGATTTTTCCTCTTTAGGCTGTGCTCTTCAACAGATCCAATAACATATAACGTTTTGGGGCAACATGGGACCTATTGGTCCATCTCGGCTGTTCCATCCTCTAAACTAAATCAAAATAATTAAAAATAAAAATCTTAAAGCCAGCCATTATTATTCATATACTTATCAAGCTTTTTCTTAAACTCATTTACGTTTACTGCCTCCACAATATCTAAAGGCAACCCATTCCAGAGGCCAACCACCCTATTAGAAAAATAAAATTTTCTTAGCTGAAGATGGCTCCTACCTTGCCAAAATTTATATTTGTGTCCCCCAGTCCTACTATTATCACTGTTAAATATGAAAAAAGATTATGCATCAACACTATCAATTCCTTTTACAGTCTTAAACACCTCAATCAGATCCACACCTAACACTTCTTTTTTCAAGAGAAAACAATTTGAGAGATTTCAGCCTTTCCTTGTAAGACAACCCCTCCAAACCAGGCACCATTCTAGTAACTCTTTCCAAGAATTCAATGTCTTTCCTAAGGTAAGGAGCCCAAGTTCTAACAGAATATTCCAAATGTGGCCCAACCAGTGATCTGTACAATGAAATTATAACCTATTTAGACTTGATTTCAGTATTTCTGTAGATACAACCTAAAATCCTATTTGCCGTACCATTAGCAACAGCACACTGCTTGGATGGCTTTAGAGACTGATCAACAATTACACAAAGATCTCTTTCTTTCATGTTGTAAGGTCAAACAACAATGACAATATTGGATTTAATGAAGCCTTCTTTGAAAGAATATGTTAGACATAAGCAACATATTCAGCAAGTTAACCATCATGAAATAGAAAGAAATTTTGTTGTTGGAAATGTGTTGATGCTTGATTTTAGAGAAGCAGAGAAATAGACTAGAGGAATTATTCATTACCATCTTGGAACAAGCACTTTTGTTGTCATCAGTGATGATAAGGAATTTCATAGACATACTGATCAGTTATGGCATGCAGGACTGGAAGGTAGACCTCCTCAGTCTCATGATGATGATGATAGTTCTGAAGAGGGTATGGAGGGTAAAAACCTAAACTTCCTTTCCTCTGACATTTTTGCCGGTCACTAATCAATTGAATCCTGTAGCTAATCAAATTACTTATACTCAAGAGAGCACTGAAGAAACTACTAATGATGTCATTCCTCCAGATCAGTCTGATGGATGTGAGGCTATTACTACCAGTATGCAGCTGAGTCAAGATCTGAAAGAACATCAGTTCGTTTCACCTAGACCACATCATAATATTAGAGTACCCAAAAGATTAGATTTATATGCATAATAAATTAATTTTACTGATGTTATTTATGTTAATGACTTTCAGATTGCATGTGAGAAGGAGTAACTATTTTTTTTTTTTTGTTATGCAATATTCTGCTGAGTTATTTTATTTCAAGTAGTTGTTAATGTTAATTTTAACCACTAGTGGGCGATTTTGTTAATAAAATATTCCTCTTGTTTGCTGTACATGGTGTCATACACACATTACTTTAAGCTGCCTTTCTAGTACTGTTTCTCTCACAACCAGCTTTCCTTACTAGTACCTTTACTCTCCAACTCAGCCTTCCTTGCTAGTACCCCTTCTCAACAGAACCAGCTTTCATTGCTAGTACCTTTATTCTCCAATTCAGCTTTCCTTACTAGTACCTTTTCTCTCACAGACAGCTTTCCTTGCTAGTACTTTTTCTCTCACAACCACCTTTCCTTGCTAGAACCTTTACTCTCATACTTAGCTTTCCTTGTGTGGTGTAGTAATAGCTGGTTGTGAGAGAAAATGTACTAGCAAATAAAGCTGAGTTGGAGAGTAAAGGTACTTGCAAGAATAGCTGGTTGTGAGAGAAGAGGTACTTGCAAGGATAGCTGGTTATGAGAGAAAATGTACTAGCAAATAAAGCTGAGTTGGAGAGTAAAGGTACTAGTAAGGATAGCTGGTTGTGAGAGAAGAGGTACTTGCAAGGAAAGCTAAGTTGGAGAGTAAAGGTACTAGTAAGGAAAGCTGGTTGTGAGAGTAAAGGTACTAGAAAGGAAAGCTGGTTGTGAGAGAAAAAGTACTAGCAAATAAAGCTGAGTTGGAGAGTAAAGATACTTGCAAGGATAGCTGGTTGTGAAAGAAGAGGTACTTGCAAGGAAAGCTAAGTTGAAGAGTGAAGGTGATAGCAAGGAAAACCTGTTGAGAAAGTAAAGTTACTAAAAAATTTAAAAAAGCATGTGTTAAAACTGTATGAAAGACCTCTGAAGTAAAATATAAATTTTAACATAGTATAGGTATAACATTAAAAATTGATGTAAATATGAGATTACTAGCTATCTTGGCTAAGTTTAAACACATATAAATGTCTTAATAAAATAAATTTGTTAAAGATTTTAAAACTTTTAACCCAGAATTAGTCTTCCAGGGTTTTCACAGACCTCAAATATTTTATAAACATCGGCACAGACAGATGGAAGCCCGTAAGTTTTTTGTTCTCAGTAGCTTCAGTATTTGGTTAGTTTGTGCTAAGTTGTTACGTTTAGTTTAGATGGTAAAAAAGAAAGAAGTTGTAATATTCGTTTTCATTTATTGATTAATAAAGGAAAATAATTTGAGTGTTAGTGTTTTTGTTTCCAAAATAATAGCTTATTATTATTAACTATTATTTAAATATTTTTAAATTAATTTTTTATGATGGGGTCTGCTCAGACCCAGAAAGAGTGAGTATGGAAAATTTTTACAGAAGACAAATACAGGGTTAAGGTAACTAAATTGTTACAGTCAAGACAAACAACAATCTATTCATCATTATTTAGTGGTCTAAAATTAATTAACCTCACTATGCCACTGCTGCATGCCTTACCTGATAAAGGACGTCTAATGTGACGGGGTAGATCTGATTATCAACTATCACCCTGAGTACAGTGTTTGGACCACCCTGAGTTTCTGCTTGATATGCTAAGGCTTGGGCAACTTGCAGTGCAGCTTGTGTGCTAGCATGCTTCACAAAAATGGCAAAAATAACTTTAAAAATTCAGAAACTTTTATTTTAGATACTGATATTTGAGAGCATACTTTCATGTTAATTTTAAATTGTCTCCCAAGTTTTATTTTATTTTTCATTAAGGTGTCAATTTGAGCAGCTTTTAACATTTTACTACAAATATATAATTTTTAATATAGCCAAGGTATCTAGTAAGTAAATTATAGTTACAAACACCAATTTAATTTGGCATATATATAGTGTGTGATAGTGTAATAAACACTATTTTATTTTGTAATTTCTTAATGAATTAGTATGAAAACGTTCATTTTACTAACATGAATTGAATGGTTATTTCTCTATTGTTTAACCTTCAACATTTTGATATTCTTTTAAGAAGACATTTTCATAATTATTTATGTATAGAAAAATTTTGATTTTAAATGCCAAAACAGGTTGTCTTTCGCAAAATACTAATTGTAAAAAATACTTCATAATTAGATTACCAATGTTTGTTTTCTTAAAGATGGATTAATTAGTTAGTTAAACAAATCGGTATATGTAGTACCTTTTAAAATGCTGAAGGTTTATCTAATCAGTTAGATCAAATTAGAGACAGCAGAAAAAGTACAGATAGTATAGCACTGATTGGCAAGAAAAAACAAAAAAATCAAGCAGTTCATAAATAATGATTAAAAATATGGTTAAGTACTGACTAGAATCCAAAATTCAGGTTTAACCCCCTTAGGTGTTGTTTGTTAAACAAATATTCTATTGTCCACACATTTAACAAATATAACCCACATTCCTATTTTAAAAACTTTCCAAGAGTATAGCCACATCCATACCTCACCCTTCCTAGAATATAACCCACATTCTTGTCTTACAGCTTTACAAGAATATAACCCATATTCATACAATACCCTTTCTAGAATATAACCTACAATACTATCTTAAAGCATCAGAAGAATATAACCCACAATCCTATCTTAAAGCATCAGAAGAATATAACCCAGGTTCTTATCTCAGCATAGAATATAATTCACATTCTTGTCTTAAGGCTTTCCAAATGTACAACCTAGAATCTCACCTCAGACTTTGCAGAATATACATCCTACATTCCTGTTTTGGTGACTAAAAGACTAGTCTTGATTCTCAAACTGAGACACTACAGCTCTTACATATGATCCAGAAACAATCGAAGAAATACTTTTCTAGCATTATAACTATAAGAAATGTAACTTCAAGTACAATTAAAAGAAAAAGAAGGACTGTTCTGATGCACTAAAACAAAAGTAGATAATTGAGAGATACCTTAGATATTAAATCTAACAAAATTTTTATGTAACAGTTCATAAGCATTTTAACATTTTCATCCACAATAAACTACTCAGTTTCACTTATGGACAAAAAGTCTTAAGTTTAAAGTCCAGTTTTGAGGATTTTATATAAATACAAATACCAAACTCTTCTGGTAAATAATGTTGGTTATCTATATGTGACTTAAAAAAAACAACTAGTTATAAATCTTCACGGGTCTTATAATGTATACTAGTATTAGCTTGACAGCTAAAAGTGGTACTTACTGCATTAGAATGGGTGCTGTCTGTCTTCAGTTCTTTGTGGTTTGAGAATTGGACATAGACTGTCCGTCCTCGGATAAGGGGAGCACCTGAACTATTATAGTAGTTCACCATGGTAGTGGCAGCTGTGTGTTCCATCATTTCAAGAAAAGCCTAGAACCCATTGAAACTTGATACAGTTAACAATATACTATGTAGCACAACTTAGTACAGTTAATAATGTACTGTGTAGCACAACTTGGTACAATAGTAGACAGGCCAATGTTCTGTTGAAACATGTAGTATATTCAACAATCAATAAAACTCTTTCTTATACTTATAAATCGTTGTTTACCTACCTATTATTATATTAGCATAACGTGCTTCCTTACTCAAGTAAACATCTTTGTACAGTCAACAATATACTGAGTAGCAAAACTTGGTACAGTTAACAAAACATGTAAGGACACTTGCATTAATTAATTCTCAAAAGTTACTCTTCATCACTATCATTGCTAGTGCTACTTCATAAGAAATTCTCCCAAAACCCACACAAGCAACGTTAAGAAAATATTCTCTGGTTACATTAGTGATAAAAGTTCAAATGTTGTCTTTCAAGCTATGCTATGTGAAGATAAATATACTGTAGTAAAAAGTTCATTGTTTCAACTGTAATACCTGGGTTTTGAATGGTCTCAATTTATGTAGCTGGGGCTGTCTATCATCTGAAGCAAAGCTTAATGTATTAGGGAAAAATAAAAGGAGGAAAGAGGTGTCTAACCAATTCTTTATTTTATATCAGTGAATCTGGTTAAAACTTCAGATGAAGCTTAATGTAGTGGGGAAAAATAAAAGGAGGAAAGAGGTGTCTAACCAATTCTTTATTTTATATCAGTGAATCTGGTTGAAAGTTCAGATGAAGCTTAATGTATTGGGGAAAAATAAAAGGAGGAAAGAGGTGTCTAATCAAATCTTTATTTTATATCAGTGAATCTGGTTGAAAGTTCAGATGAAGCTTAATGTAGTGGGGAAAAATAAAAGGAGGAAAGAGGTGTCTAACCAATTCTTTATTTTATATCAGTGAATCTGGTTAAAACTTCAGATGAAGACTGTCTTACTTGTGATATGAGAGTGATTAGACACATCAGGTATATATATTAAAAAACTCAATTTCACAAATTATGTACAGGTTTCCACAAAACTCAGTGACTTGTGGTGGAGAGAAATGTATATATATACGAAATGTAAACAATCCACTAGTTATTTAATCATTCTATTTGCATATTCTTGTTTATTGTTTGAGTAATAAAAGAAATATTCTGATAATCTATAAAAAATATTAAACTGGATAGTGTGTATGTATATACTGTCCGGTTAGTACTTTACCAGACAGATTCTCAAACTGTGGCAAATGTGGTATGTTGATGGTACATGAAAGAATTAATGTGAAAATTATAACATTTGCATTAAGCCCCATTTAAGCTTCCAGAGTACATAAACACATGACTCTAGTCACTTCTAGACTCACCCTTTACCTAGAATTGCTAATGTTTTCTTCTCTTCAAATAAACAAAAATTGCACAGTATTTTTTCAATTATGCCAAAAAAAAATGACAATCACATCCTTCCCAATAATGGGTATTAAAGATATTAATTTTGCTACTAGGTTTTTTTTTCCTTTTTTAACTGGGTTTGTACATCAATAAAAGTTTAAATAAAGTGTTACAAACATAAGCCTGAAAAGTTTAAGAACCTTTTGTCTATAGATTACGACAGTGACCATAGGTGGCAGAACCAACAGAAACTGGGGGTACGTGCCCCCAACTTCTGAACCACTAGTAAAGTGTTCCTTAGAACCCAAATGGAGACTTGTGAATATTATCAAGGTAAGTCTCCGTTTTTCAATTCTGAATTCAATGATCACAGTTAACGTATCCCACTCCTATTAGTATTTATTCCA